TGAAAAGAGACATTGGAAAGTAATCAATGATGATTCAGATGAGATATAGAAACTCAATTTAAAGGAAGATTTTTTTTAAGTTTCAATGCCTCTATTAGGGAGGAGCTTTTTCAAAGGTAAGAATGATCTCACTTTATTTTCTAAAAGTTTCAAAGCTTCAGTTGTGGGAGAGCATTTTATTTTTCAAAGTTTCAAAGCCTCAGTTGTAGGGGATTAGTTGTGAGAGAGCATTTTATTTTCAAAAGTCTCACAGCCTCAGTTGTGAGGGAACATTTTATTTTTCAAAAGTTCTAAAGCCTCACTTGTGAGTGAGCATTTTATTTTTAAAAGTTTCGAAACCGCAGTTGTGATGGAGTATTTTATTTCCAAAAGTTTCAAAGCCTCAATTGTAGGGAAGCATTTAAAAAAAAAAAAGTTTCAAACCTTTAAAGAGGAGCCTTTGCAATTTTTTTTTATTTTTTTACCCAAACAAAATGGATTTTTTTTTTATTTGTACAATTCATGTTTCATAGAAAATGCACAAAATAATTGTAGACACCTTATTTTGTCCAAGGATTTTTCAAAATTCATTAAGCTTCAAATTTTAATTTTGATTGTGCAATTAGGCCTTAATTGAAAATGTGAATTTTGGGCCCAAAGATTAAGCCCTAAATTTTATTTTATTTTAATTTTTTATTTTAATTTTTTTAGTCAAAAGAGTTAAAGTCAATTGGTAAAAAAAAATAAAAAAAAAGGGTAAAAATAAAAAAATTTATTGGATTTTGCATGAAAAATCTTGGATTCAATTCAACTCTTAGATTTTATATCAGATTTTAACTTTAATAATTGAATAATTTTGGAAAGACTTTGGGCTCAATCTATTAAAAAAAGAAAGATTACATAGAAAATAAAATTTTAAGAGAAATCCTAGATATGGTTGAATTAATTTCTTCCAAATCGAAAGGGATTCAATCCCTATATAAAGACCTTAAATCTATGATCAAAGAGGGGGCCTCACAACATTTCACTTCAAAATCAAACAGAGATCATTGAAAAGAGAGAAAATTTGGATAAACTTTTAAATAAACAAGGAAAAAGCAATCAAGCAAAAAAAATTTTTACAAGAAGATTTAATTGGAGTTTTTGGAAATAAGGCTAAGATTTATAGTAGGAAGTATCAGTGTTTGAAAGATGAAAAATTGTTGAAAACCATTAAGGTAATGTTTTCTTTTTTTTTTTTGGTGATTTTTTTATAACTTTTATAATATTTAATTGCTTACTCGTATTTTTATATTTATTGCATAGTATTTATTTTTGCATGAATTTGCATGACTAATATTATATTTGCATGATAACTTATTTGCCTAATATATTTATTTGTATGATTAATATATTTATTTATGTGATTTATTAATATATTTGCATGATTATTAATATATTTATTTGTATGATTATATTTAATTCAATTGCATGATTATTAATACATTTAATTGCTTGATTATTAATATATTTATTTGCATGATCATATATTTAATTACATGTTTATTTGCATTATTATGTATTTAATTATATGTTTATTTGCATGATTTATATTATTATTTGCATGATAATATATTTAATTGCATGTTTTATATTGATAATTGCATGATTATATATTTAATTGCACGTCAATTTGCATGATTATTAATTTATTTATTTGTGTGATTTTATGATTATTAATATATTTATTTACATAGTTATTTATTTATTAATTTATCATTATTGCATAATTTTATACTTATTGCATGATATGATATTATATATTATTGTATAATTAATATTATATTTGAATGATATTTAATTGCATGATTATACATAATTACTAATATTTTTGTGTGATTATATTTGATTTCATGATTATATATTTGCATGAATGGTTATTAATATATTTGCATAATATTTTATATTATTACATGATAATATACTTGCATGAGATTATATATTTATATGATTGTTATTATTATATGATAATTGATATATTTGCATTACATTTTTGCATGAATATTTTAACATGATCTAGGCATGATATTATTACGTGATATTTGATATGATTTATAATATTTTTGCATGATAATTTTAGTATGATATGATTTAATATTTATTGCATGACTGTTTGATATTTTGATAAATTTTTTGTACCACAATGTTTTATAAATAAATAAAAAGATTAGAATTGATTAATTTGTATGATAAAAACTATCTTGGATAAAACTTAAATCAGATAACACATAATTAATTTGGCATCAATTTTGAGTATAAAAAGGTGCTAATACATTCTCTATATATAAGCGATTTTCGAACCTTTGTTTTGATTATGTAAATTAAAATTTATTTTTTTTAAGAACTCTTAGTTTACACTTAGGACGACCTTAAAAATGATAAATTCACATAAGTGATCAATCACACTTAGATAAAAAAAAGTTTAGTGGTTACTTCGTAATTTTTTTATCTAATAGGTAGATTTCTCAACCTAGACTACTCTTTTGACCATAAAATACTCATAATATATACTTTTGGAAAGTTTTAAAGAGAAACACCTTATTGTAGCTCTGTCTTTGACTTTAGATGGAGCTTAGACCAAGAGTGAGTTCGTATAATTATTTTTGTAAGCATCCAAACCGCCTTTACATTAATTTCGGTAAAGATTTTATTGTACTTTAATTTTTTTAACCGTATAACTATTCATTTCGAAACGTAAGCAAGTGACTTAATCATGTAAATTTTTGTGTGTTTTTGTTTGCCTAATTTCTTTATGGTTTTTCCTATGTTGTTGTTTGCGTAATTTTTCAACTTATTCCTAGCTACTTTGTTTCTTAGATCATATGCTAGAATAAAATATGCATGACTTTTAGAACGTAATATCTATAAACTATAAATAAAAAGCATCCTCAAAAGTTTTAGAATTTGACAACTGTACTCTATAATGAAAAAACCATATTAACTTTTATTTTTTAGTTAATGACTAAAGCAACGTGACTAAATAATCGTTACTGGTTTCTTTTTTGTTTATAGATAAAAAGTATCCTGAAAAGCTTTCGAGTTTGACAGTTGTACTCTAGAATGAAATGATCATATTAGCCTTTATTTTTGAGTTAATGACTAATATCTTTTCATTTTATAGTTGTCCAACCCTGTTGAATTGAATCTGTTATGGGCTTAGGTGCTGGCTAGAAGACAAGTGAATGAATTTGGATACGAAAATACATGGATCTGCAGGTAACTGCATGGTTGTTAATGCCACATAACTAAATAATAGTTACTGATTTTTTTTGTTTTCTTTTGGATGATCGATTTAAACGTAAGAAATTTTTTTTTTAAAACTTTGTTTATTTACTTTTTAATCTATTACGTGTATTAAAAACAATCTCATAAGAGTTATTTATTTTTACATGGTTGATTTCAATTGGTTTAAATTTATTTTTTTATTAATTAAAAGGACAATGAAAGAAAAGATTAAACAAAAATAAGTTTCCAAAGTTTCAATTGAAACTTGAAAGTTACTTCTATATAAAATAAAAAATATATATTTGTACATTTTTATTAGAAGAATGGTTCTTGACATATATCCTACCTAAAGATAGGGTTGAAAATTTTTTTATTGTTGAAAGTATTAAAGTGTTTTTAATGATTATGGATTGAATTAAAAAAGATGAAAGCATCTAGAATCAGAGAGGAGAAAGACCAATTGAGGAAAGAGGAATAATGAAAAAAAGAGCGAAGTAGTGATTACATAAAATAAAGGAGTTTGGCTTGAGAAGTTTGAGAAAACCATGTTTTTGAACTTACAATAAAAATTAAAGATATGGTATGATGGTTAATGATTACTCTTTCTTTTAGAGGTGGCAATTCAATAATGGATTGTGTAATTAATTTATATCTAACAGTTATTTTATTTTCTTAAAATATCCTGACACAAAATTTCATATATTTTTATATAATTTAATGTCTGTTTTTAGAACACGACGAGAGTAAAACAATCAAAATAAATTAAAAAAATCAACTCCTAATTTATTTGTTACATTTTTATAATTTATTTTTAAATTTTTATTCTTTGTGCAGCTTTATATTTCTTTTTTATTTTTTTGAATAATATTTTTATTTTATTTTTATATTATATTTACTATTATCAATAAATAAAAAAAACTACATCTTTCAATTACCTCGCAAATTTAAAAATTCTTAAGATAACAACAAAGTGGGAGGTCTCATACTAGTGCAAGAAATGGTTATCGAGTGTGTTAACGTGAATTTGGTAAAATTGCCTTGTTCAATCAGTATAAATTCTGTTTTTTAATTGATAAAACAATGCAAATTTTTACTATTTCTTCTCGTGGATATACATAAGCTATCAAGAGTTATGTAAGTTCTTGTGTTTCTGGTTCTATATTCATTTCTTTTTATAAATAGATTTGCTGTATTATAAGATCAAATACGTTAGGACCTAATTCTAAAAGGAACTAGCTAGTATCAGATCACCCAATTTACAGTTTTTGACAAAAATTCTTTCAACAAAGGAAGTAGATAGGATGATGGTTCAAATAAAAATCCATGTTCTAAGCCGATCGAGTTGATTTTTTGAAAACTTAAGCTCTCGAGCCATCTACAAAATTTTTAACGGTAAAAACAATAAATATTTTTATATTATTATTTGTAATAGCGTGTAAAAACATGACACAGAATATTAGCTAGGTGTGATGGTTAGGATTTGGTGAGGTTGAGTGCTACAATTTGTCATCTAAAGAGGGGTATCTTATATATCGCCTCTAGATCTGCCCATAAATTAAAGCTTGTTCTTAGCTAGCTAGCTCTTTGAACTATGAAAGAACTATATATATATATATATATATGTATCTTCCTTGTTCAGTGATTAATGTCATAATTCCTTGGATTGATTTGATTTATCTTAATTACGTACCTTAGATATGGGTCTATATAATTCTCAAGAATAAAATATGTGCCAATAAACAGTTAGAGAAAGATACCATGATCCATCAGGTAGTTGTATACTCTCAACGAAGTTGATTGCTTTGCCAATGCAAGCTTCTATTTCTTTCTTTTTGTAACTTGGATACAGCTTGAGAAATAATTTAAGGCCTTGAATTGCTGCCGAAGTGCATTCCACATACCTAAAATTATCAAATTTTTGAGTGATTACAGTAAAGCACATTTTATGTAACCCAAAGGTTACAAAGCTAGCCGTAGCAAAGAAAAGATCCATGATATATATGCGTGCTCGAAATATATTGAAATTACGCGGTGCATGTTAGTAATAACAGAACAATCAGTTGTCACTCCCCAACCAAAAAGAAAAACATATATAGTAAGAAAACTTAAAACAAATATTTTCCTATCTTACTGATAGTCAATGATTATATCTCGAAACATTTCAGCTGGATTGAACATCTGTAATACAGGAGAAAAAAGGTTTAAACTCAAACAAAATCATCTCTCATTTATTAATTAATTAGAACGTGGATATAAATGAATGAAAAACTATTAATTCTTACTTCCAACCATGCATAAGATCTCGTGAGCTCATATGATGCAAAACCACCACTGTTATTCTGTGAATTAAGAATAAGCAAAATGCTAAATATTGCGGTTAATTATGAAGGAATACTATTTATCTACATAATATGTTCGCAAACAAGTATAAAAATTTTATAAATTGACGTGTCCATTAATTATATATAAATAAAAAATAGATAAATGTGAAACTGTTAAGCCAACAAAATTATTTAAATAGACAACATATATATATATATATGAATGTGGAGTTTTTTTTTATATATATAATTTCCATTGATATATAAGTAATTTCAAAAGAGAAAAAAAAAATGTTATTGCTGTCTTTGTTCTTTGATTCATAGAAAACGTTTTCCTCACTATTCTCTTATAATCATTTTTTTTTATGTCAACCAAGTTCTTACCTTTCATATAACTTGTCAAGCATTGGGTTGATTCTACTCCATTAGTCATACAGGTTTTGTGTTTTACCCTTTGTTACATTGCATGTTTTTGTGACACTCTACTTCATAAAAGAGTTAATTACAAAAAATAGTACCCAGATTATGTGAAATTGTAATTTGATACCTAAACTTAAAAAAAATTGTATACTACCCAAAAAAATGTGCATTCTTATACTTAACTATCAAACGCTATCTATGTATTCCAGTCCTGTTTTTTGGCCAATGAATTCCAGTTCTACTAACGGATTTGGAGAGACTGCTAGGTGTTTAATAACCAATAAATTCTTGCCAAGTGTAACACCATCTAAATTAAAAGGACATATGTCATTACACACATGTAACCACAAATCAGTAAAAACCTTAATATATCGATAAATTAGTAAATGAAAATTAAGTATAATATGTTACCTGTAAAGATAAAATCACATTAACAGCCTCATATAATCGATCTGGTGTTGTAACCTTTACATCAACGATGTCAGATGGCATTGTTGATAACAAAAGTGCTGCCTACAAAACAATCTGGAATTGTTAAACATAGATCATATATATTTCTCCTTAGAGTCACCATGTGGATTAAGAAATTAAATATTTACCTTCAATCCTTCTGATGTGCAATCTGAGACAATCCAACCATTATCTGGAGTTGAGAAAGGCCATCCTCCCTTTGAAATGTGGCGATACCAGAAATTAAGGTCGCCGCCACTGTTTTCTTTGACCTAAATTAAGACAACATTCAATTTGATTAATTAGTCATGCACTTTTAATTAACCTAATATTATATTACTTAAAAATATTGTAGAACAATGTAATTTGATGGTTGAGAAATAATACAACTTACTATTATTATTATTATTATTATTATTATTATTATTATTATTATTATTATACTAAAAACATTATTATAGATGTCGATAACCAATACTTGTGTATTTTTTATGAAGTTGTGAGCTTTCTTAAGCATTGAACCATATTCCTCGACAAGGTCGGTTGCCAAGATTGATTGAACAGAGAAAGCAACATCCCATAATTGAGATCCATTGTATCCCTGCATGATGGAAATTACCATTTAATAATTTGTTCATCTTTAATTTTATATACATATATATATATATATAACCATCGAATTAATTTGACCAAACAAAATTCTGTTAGTGAGGTAGGCGAAAATCTGATCCAATCTGTACAAGAAAAGAAAGCAAGATTGTAACCGAGTATACCTGCATTTTCATGCCATCTTCGGCAATCCAAAGGTAATCTTTAATTCTGGAAAGGTGACACTTGTATCCCTCTGAGTTTGGGTCTTCTACCCAACAACATACCATGTTTAGTACCTGATCGATCATCCATGAAAGATAGTGACTGAGAGAGACATCACGTTCTGTTTTAGTTTCACAAGGCATGCAGTAGAAAATTAATGTTGGTTTTCTCATGTTCCCATACCCAAAAAACAACTCAATATATATATATATATATATATATATATATATATATATGTAGGACACAAAAGTCCACTTGCCTATATCATTAGGCTACTCTGGTCACAAGCCGGATCACTGTGGATAGCATAGATACCGAGTTATGTGCTCAAGGGACGTAGTAAATGGGAAATCCTAGCATATCAAGTCATAGTTGGGCCATGAAGAAACTGCTAAAATTGAGGAGCATTGCTTACAGATTCTTAATGCAGACAGAGGATGGAGTTGTATGGAACACTATAAGCACAAGTTACTCCACAACTAGTGTTTGGGAGGTACTGAGACAAAGAAAGCAGAAGGTGGATTGACATAGGCTCATTTGGTGGAAACTCCATATTCCTAAAGATGCTATGGTTTCTTAGATGGTTGCTCTTAACAAACTCCCTACAAAAGATGGGGCTGTTATCATGGGGATATCTATAGATGACGGTTGTGTGCTTTGTAAACAGGAAATGGAGAGCAGGAATCATATTTTCTTTAGTTGCACATATTCAAAGGAAATTTGGAAACAAATTCTACATCATTGTAACTTGCAAAGAAAGGTGACAGGATGGAGGAGGAGTTTGTGGGTAATACGATGGTTGAAAGGAAAGGCGTTTGATTCAGAGGCTAGCTTGGAGAGTTTGTTAGTAATTTAGAATGTGGTACATCCAATGTTGGAAAGAAAGATTTAATTATTGATAAATAAAATTAATTTTTGTATTTAATTTTATTCATATTTTAAATAATTATGTTTAAGCAAAAATAATTATCATATAACAAATGATCGTAATTATTTAAATATAACTAAATTATTATTCATAAAGGTCATATTTATACAAAAAATCATAATTATTTAAATAGAAGTTTATATATGTTCATTCATTATAAATAAATATTTTAGTATAATAATTTTTATTACTTCTAATTGGAGAGTTTAAGGTTTTATTGTATTTTAAAGACATAATTGTCTTTAAAAAAGTATTTTTCACACCTCAAAGCCAATATTCTGTTCCTTTTTTTTTCTCTTACCTTATTTATTTTTTTCTAACAATTTAAAGGCAATTATGATAAATTTATATTTTGCATGAAGAAGATACAAGGAAAAGAAATTGGCATGATTTGAAAATCAATATTAGATGAGGCGTAAGGTGTCAAAGAATTAATGTTTCCATGGACGAAAATGTTAATTTTCATAAAAATCTTCATTAGAGTTTTTTTTTTTTTGGCATAATTGCTGGTAAACAAGATTGACTGAATGAGATAAATACATTAACAATTAATTTCATTAGTGTGTAAAGTCAAAACATAGTATGCAAAATATTGATTACGTTGCATAAGTTTATGCATATATTAAAATTGACTGCATAATTGGGTTTAATAAATTGTATTATATATATTTGAAAAACTGATGCTTTTAAAGACTGAGATGGGAAATAGCTTGAAAACATAAAAAAGAAATATATGAATTGATCTACAATCAAAAGAATTATCACTTGTTATCAAGTAATAAATTAAATTGGGTTTTAATGGAATGGTTGATTGTTTAATTGTCATGTCTTAGTTATAGATAGAATAGGCAACTTGTCACATGGTTTCTATGAAAACAATTGAAAATGAGTAAAGGAATTTACTAGAAAAATTAGATGTCAGTGGAGAATATATGTAGAAAATAAGATTTTGCTACAAGATTAGTTTTATTTTTAAATCATGGAACCAAAATTGAGATAATAAGTTGAGTCAAGCTATTTGTATGGTTTTATCTTTGTTGGTCATTTATAAATCAAATATTGATATATTTTTTAAAATTTATTATTGGTTCAAATTTGACTAGTGTTCAATTTTCATGAAAACCAATTAAAATTTAATTGATATATATATGAATAATTATTATTAAGATATAGTGGTTCATGGATTAATTGGTGGATAATAAACCAAATAAATGTTATTATCAGAAATATAAGATTTGTGACATGTATTTGGCCTGCTGGGTGTATTACACTAGAAATGATTTTATAAAATAAAATTGTATTATTAATAATCATAAGTGGAAATTATAAGTAGCCATCCAAGAGTTAATCAATGATTACACAAAAGCATTGTTGCATTTCTCATATAGGATACTGATTAAAAGAGAAGGGCATGTTATTAAAAATATTGAAGCATTTGTCAGTTACTAGCATTTTGATGGATGCTCATCAATGTCTAAGTAGCCATGTTTATAAATTAGAAAAGAACATACAAATTCAATATTCCAAAGGCACCAATACATGCATGTGTTTAATTCCATTTTGTGATGGCATGGAGAATATTGGTACAGTTTGTCATATATTATGAAAATGAACTGAATGGATGAAATTTTTTTTATATACACATATAAAAAAGATATGGACTATGGAGATAGAATGCCACCATCCTATTAGTACATTATTAGTTAGAGACAATTAAGCTATTTTTACTTCTTGTACCCAAAAAATGGCCTTTTGTAAGTTGTTAAAATGAAAAGTGAATAAGTTTTTGAGGTTTTCAATAATTTCATGACAATGACAAGGATGTGGCTAGTTATACACCATACATATAGGCTTAGATAATAATATTGGTTTATGAAAGTCGTAAGCCTTAGAGTTAGCCAATCAATGATTTAACCAATGCAAATTCATCATGAATTTTTGCATGAAATATGAGTAGAACTCATATTATAATTATTGTTTATACATTTTTATGAAAATGATTCTTTGGATTCATGTTTCATTACTTGCATTGATATGGTGATCTAGATATAAATATATTGATCACAAAATGATTGTAAAAGTATTTGAAATTGAAGTTAAATATACTATGGACTCTTATTGTACATAGGCATATTAGTCCTATAAGTAAAGTTTGAATTTATTATATATCTAAAAATGTTATGACCAATTAAAAGTAGTAAATAATAGAGATATATAGCGTGACACCTCAATCCCATATCAAGATAATATGAGGTTCTGTTATGATATATATATATATATATATATATATAAAGATCTAAACCCAAACTTATGATGTGCTTTTTATGGAGACCTCCACCCAACCTGCGAGATATTATCTGTTTTGACTCGAAGATAGAGAAAAAAATTAGTTATATGATGTTTTTAAGGCTGTTATTTGGTGATATTGTTACAAGAATTTAAAGACATATATGGACATGTTTATAAGAATAAATTAGAAACTTCATTGTAAGGGATGTTATGGACAAAGGATTTTGTTGGTGCAAGAAATATTATAAAGTCAATTTGATGTTTTTGGGTTATGTTTGAATGATATCAGAGTGGCGCAGTGGAAGCATGGTGGGCCCATAATCCACAGGTTCTAGGATCAAAATTTGACTTTAATATCATTTGTGGAGACTCGCACCTAACCTGTAAGGTATTATTCATTTTAACCCGAAGGTTTTATGATTTTGCCCTATAAAAGGTGCCTCGTAAGTTAGTTTTAAATCTTTACTTATATATCATAACAGAATCTCAGATTATCCTAATGTGGGATTAAGGCATCACATATAGGCTGCACAATTGTGGAGAAATAAAGTTCTCATAAAATTTTGAAATCAAGTTTAGAGGTTTCAATAGTAATGAACTTAGAATTGGCCACTGGACAATTAATATATGCATTGGAAACTCATGATAACATTTGAGATAGTTGGTTTTCATTAAAAGCCATCACTATAAATGAGATAACTTCAGTAACGAAATCTACATGATTTGTAGGTATGATGTGGATTATTATAGTTAGCTTAGAATAACCATAAGCCAAAATTAATGCCGCAATCTTGATCACGTTGTGATAATTTTTTGTTATGTATATTCATGGATTGTACAAATGATTTATCATCTAGGATTTTATATAATGAAATTTTCAAAGTATATTTACTTTGGAAGTCATGAGTGATTCAAAAATCTTGTGAATATGAAAACTTTTATAATAGTAAAAGAAATGTTATTTGATCCATTTAGGTGATGGAAATAGATTTGTTCATGGTAATAAATATTATTAATAGTGTCCATGATGAAATAGATTCATATAAATATTTATGAATTAACATAAAAAGTTTTAAAAGGAAACTATAGAAGCATGATTATATTTAAAATCTACTTATTAATGTAAACTATTATATTGAGTTAAAATATAAAAGTTTTAGAACTTTTATACAAATATTAAGATATTTGCTAGTTATCTTTCATTAAGAGTGGATTTAGAAGCCTCCTAATTAAAAAAAAAAAAAAACCACCAAATAATGAAAAGATAAATAAAATGGCAACTTGATTAAGTATATATGATATCTAGATAATTGAATGAGACATTTTTTAATAAAAGAATGCGTATTTGCACATGATGGGGGTGATAAGAATCAAAATAAATTAAAAATTGCTACCATAGTGTTGTAAAATTTTAGTATAATTTTATGAGCAAATTATACAAGCTAATAAGTTTAGACACTTACTAAAGTAAAATCATAAAAAAATCTTTAAAAATCTTAAAAAGACTAAAAAAGTTTGGTTTATTCATTAAGTTTATCCAATTATACCATAAGTATAATTATATTAAAGAT